CCGAGAACAAACGCAATTCAAAAGATGTTTATAGAGATTTGTAGAGAATTTGACGGGCTATCAGAATCTATAATTACTTTCTCCAAAATGTTGACTTACAGTGATAATTTATTCAAAATACAGAGTCTAACTATTTCTGGCCAGGGGGATATATATGTAGAAAATTCCTGAATAAATATTTACTTAGCACTAGTTGAAAGATAAATTTTAATTAGATCAGCTCAATCTATTAAACATCTTCCACAGACAAGTTTCTTTATTTATTTCTTATCAATCATTGAATATAGGATACAGATTTCTCTATTCCATTGTGATATGAAACTTATTTCATATTTTTACTAGAAATGGTTCTTGTTGCATAGAGTTTTCATTTAATATGTAGTTCATCTTTTTTTTACAAAGATAGATATAATTGCAGATATTTAACAGATATTTTTCGTAAAATTAGCAAATGAATTCTGATATCTTTTTTCAACTCATCGAATCAATGACGAGTGAAATTGAAGTTGAAATTTTAAAATGTCAAGGAATCAATAATATTCCAGCTTTGTTACGAGCAAGAGATCTATATTCTATATTCAAAATTGACTCTGAAGAATTAGAAGATCTAAGAAATCGTGCATGTTTAAAATTAAAGGATGGCGAATACATGATACGTCCAGCCATCAAAGACAACCTTGCATATTGTATAAATGAATTCAAAAATAAATTAAACGAAAAGCATTCTCAGCCAGAGCATCCTGATCAAAATTCAAACACTCAAGATGACTCTTTTATGATTACATTTATCAAAAGTCTTACCGATAATATGAATCGATCTAAACATTGTTATCAATATAATATAAACATGCGACGATTTACATCATGTGTATATTTGTTAGGAGGAAGAAATGTTTATCAATTTTTAAAATTAAATCTTCCTGGTGCATTTCCAGCTATTCAAACATTAGATTCCTATAATGAAGAATATTGTAAACGTATTCAAGAAGGAGAATTTCGTTTTGAAGACTTAGAAAATTATTCAAATAAAATTAATTCTTTTTTTGTTTATGCATCAGAAGATTGTACAAGAGTTGTTAGTAAGGTTTACTATGATGCTGTTAGCAACTCATTTGTTGGATTCTGTTCAACATTCAACAATGGTTTACCAACTGTTCGTCAATATCAAACCAACGACTTTTTTCAATTAGAGGAGTGGTTTGAATCAATAGAAAGATCAACGTTAATGAATATATTTACAATTCAACATATAACAAACAAGGGAGTGCCACCTTTTCTTTTGTCCAGTTTTGGTACAAATAATAAGCTAGACTCAATCTCCGTATTTCATCGTTGATTGTTCATATACCAACAATGTTATAATAAGAATATGAGACTTCTTGGATTTTCCACTGATGCTGATCCGAAGTACTTAAAAGCTATGAGGCTAGCTGCTGGTTAGTTTTTTTTATATAAGTAACATTAATTTTTTGACTTTTTATTTTATTTCTAAGGATATTTTGCACAACTTACGAATACCAATTTATTGAACAGAAATGATATTCTAGAAGTTCATATTCCAAAGTCATGGTCGAACTGGTTTTATTTAAGCCCCCCCCCCTCAAAAAAAGTCAATTTTCTTCAGAAAATCGAAAATTGAGATTTCTGCTTTAGAACGTTTAAATGAGCTGAAATTTGGAGGATATGTTGGGGCTATAGTGGAGAGTCTATGATAAAATTTTCAGCCCCAAATCTGCAGGTTTAAGGGAGATATGGACCAAACAATGGTTAACAATAGCTGATTTTTGCATCCCAAAATTTTCGGTCCTGGTTCATCCAACATATTAATATTTTTTTTTTGTTGGAAAGAGCATCTCAAGACGCAGGGCATGACATTGCCCTTTTTTTACATTAGGCCTTTGTTTGGTC